GCCCTCAATTCCTCTCGCAGAGCATTCGTTGATTATCTTGTCAGCAGATTTAGCACGGGTGACAACTGTGTGAACATGTGTAGATGTACTGCCTGCAGCAACTCTGTTGAAAACACCCAAACCCTGTATGCTCAAACTTGAAAGATGCTAAGGCGAAAGGAGAAATACTCACTTCTGCACTTGCCCTGCATTGCTGCATTAAGATTTTCCAATGACTTTTCTAGTTAAATGATGAGGGCATTTCAAACAACGATAAAACCAAAATGTTCACAGTAATGTAAACTGGAGGTTTTACACGTCAAAAAACAGACTAAATTTTCCTAGTATGCGCAGTGCAGTGCCACGTTCTGCAATTCAGAACGAGGCAACAAAGTTTTCAGTGACATCGTAAACGAGCAGGTTTGTGAATACATTTCTTTTAATCCAATGGAACAATTACTCTCGACTCCAAGATAGTTTTGACGATAAATGGAATTTACTTATTAACTCAGTGGGGAAATGTCTGGAACAGCTTCCCTGTGTCCATATTAACCGACTGACAAGGGCTCGCAACACTTGCAAAGGAAAAATCTCATTTTTGGATTGTAGAACAGAGCAGAAAAGGGAACTCTGAATGAATGATCAGATGAACTATCATCATCATTAAGGTCATTATCAATATCTCTAAAAATAATTCAAAGAAATAGATTCCTCATTCCAGAGAAAAGAGAAGCCATTTTGGAGAAATATTTCAGAAATGCTAGAGAACAGTGATACGACCAATCTTGCAACACCTCACACAAAGTCAGGTCTGACAAGATTGACACAGGTATTTAAAAGTCTCTTCTGCACATACAGCTAACTATAAGGGCAGAAGAGATTATTTTCCTTTTTTTGGAAGTTGCAAAATGCAGACTTAGGCAAACTTGCAATATTTCTTCTTCAAGGAGAAGCGTTCCACCAAAGCTTTATCAGCTCTGATGTGCAAACAGAAACTAAAGCTTAAAAAGTCTAGAGCGGTTTTCAGATTTCAGAGGATTTTCCAAAAATCTTTTTTTCCTGAAAACCAAGAGGCAAAGTAAAGGGAAAATGCCGCCTGAAATTCTTTGAAATGCCAAGTCCTCGAGGACAAAGCCGATGAGATCAGATTAATCGTTTTGCGAGAGAAACGAGGTTTTGATTACAGAACCTTAGAATTTCTCATGAAGTCAGCAGTTGTCCAGCAACTGCTGACATGCCTTTAACAGACATGCATTTAAAGGGGAACTGCAATGTTATTTTTATATTTCCGCACTGATTACATTTCAAACCACGTTAAAAGTAAAATTTACACTTTGAAGTGTAAAATGCAAAACCCCAATTTACATAACAAAATAGACCAAATTTCCAGGTATGCGCAGTGCTATATTCTGCGATTCAGAACAAGGCAACAAAACATCTGGTGAGGTGAAGCGGCCCTATCACATTGTGAACAAGCAGGCTTGTGAGTACTGTACATATATTTTAACCCAACAGAAATATTGCTCCTGACTTTAAAACAGTTTTGTGGACAAAAGCCGCTTGTTAATTCTGCATGCAGATCACGTTGGAACATTTCTGCTGCACATCCTGTTCTTACTTGCTTGTACGTTGCATTACACGAGTCAGTACAGTGACTAGGGAGCAGAAAGGGCCACATGATGTCGCATGTGGCATGACTGGGGGTTTACAATGAAATGCAGACCATCCAGTACTTTCACAAAGTTCCCGATTTTATTTTTTGTTAAGAATTTGTAAAATTCTGCGACATTCAATTTAATTTGTTACCGAGACTTAATAGCCGGTCTGAGACATTGGGACTTTTAACTCCTCCTGCAAAGGAAAAGGAACATGGGGAAACCAAACACTTTAGAACCATGTCTCCTTAGGGAGTCCGTCCCCCTCAAAGAAAAAGCATGAGCTGTACTGTTCATGAAATGGGCACCACCACACAGACTGGAAAACATCCAGTCTCTTCCGACAATCAAACACTCGACCCCTCATGGCGAGTGGCTGCATCAGGCCTCTGCCGAGCTGCACCAGCTCCAGCTGGCTGGGCACACGTGTGGCGGCTTTGGGTGGTGCTCCGTGCTGTAGCACGCGTGTACGTTCCACACGTCAAGGCCTTGTGTTTCTAATGTGGCAGGACTCTGGAGGACTGCGGGAGAAAGCTCCAGGAAAAGAAAAGGGCTATCCGGTCGTCCACGACTTGTATCCCTCCCTATAACATAGAAGGTGAGGTTTCTGAGAAAACAGGATAACGAGCTTACTCTGCACTGTTGCTCTCCATAATAGTGTTTTAACAACCAACAAGTCTTCTATGCTTGGTGTGTTTGTGGTGGTTTTTGCTGGCTCCTCTGGTCTTCGCCCACCTTACAAGCCAGAATCTGATTTTCTTCTGCCCTAGCTAGATGTCGTGCATTTGCAGTTTTACAGATTGAAGCAGGTATCTGCAGTGATGAACTGTCCACATGCTGCTTACAAAATACACTGATTGGTGAACAAAAAAAACGGTTTGGTATCCAACGGTTCGTCACAGTCAGAAGAGAGAACTTTTCCATTTAACCTGCAACTGCAACAGTTTATAGAAAACGAACTTTGACCTTTACATGGGTTAAGTGATTCTGACATTTGGGGGACACTGGCTGCAGCTGGATGTCAAACCTTTAATACCTCCATGGATTTGTATTTAATTCATACACCTCAAAATGCTGTGAACAGCAGAACTTTTTTGTGCTCTCCTTGAAACCAAACATCATCATCATAATAATAATTTACCACCTCCTCCCACATAAAGCACAGACAAGATTTACTCCATGATTGATGCTCCGACTGAGCTTGAACATCAGTGGGGTTTCTCATCTCCCATACTGAAATACCTCTTAACTGTCCAGGTTGCAATTTAAGCAATTCATAGCAGTCATATCTCTCTGCAACTCACAACTGGCAACCCATTAAAACTAAGCAGGTTTGAGCCTGGTCAGTACCTGGATGGGAGACCTCCTGGGAAAAACTATGGTTGCTGCTGGAAGAGGCGTTAGTGGGGCCAGCAGGGGGCGCTCACCCTGCGGTCCATGTGGGTCCTAATGCCCCAGTATAGTGATGGGGACACTATACTGTAAACAGGCGCCGTCCTTCGGATGAGATGTAAAACTGAGATCCTGACTCTGTAGTCATTAAAAATCCCAGGGTGCTTCTCGAAAAGAGTAGGGGTGTGACCCCAGCGTCCTAGCCAAATTTTTTATTGGCCCTTACCAATCATGGTCTCCTTATAATCCCCATCTATGAATTGGCTTCATTACTCTGCTCTCCTCCCCACTGATAGCTGATGTGTGGTGAGTGTTCTGGCGCACTATGGCTCCAGGTGGGGCTGCACATTGGTGGTGGTGGAGGGGAGTCCCCATTACCTGTGAAGCGCTTTGAGTGGAGTGTCCAGAAAAGCGCTATATAAGTGTAAGCAATTATTATTATGAATTAAATCAGCGTCTTATTTACATTCTTTTTGGAGTCAGTGTTGATTTAAACGGGACACAAAAGCTCTCATTTATCATAAATCTCAGGCCGTTTCGAGTTTCGCATGCCGATTCTCAACCTTTGGCTCAAAGATCTTTAGGGGTCAGTAGCTTGTCAAATCACCACTCCTGCAGGGTGGATCTGGGCCAGCGTTTACAGCGATGTGCAGCTCTGCTATTAAAATTGAATGATGAATCATACCTTTATTAGGATGAAATACTTTTGCTTGATTAAACGGGGTGTCCTTATTGACACTGAGCACATGAACGATGAAGTGTGCAGCAGAGTTTCAAGTTGCTCCCCAAGTATAATCGCAAACTTAGACTGCTGGGGAAAGGCCAGATTAGGTCACCAACTATTTTTTCTACTCCATTAAAAGATTCTACAATTTCTCAAAAAAGTGTAAGTACGCAGCGCAGACTAAAGCCTTAAAAATAGCACAACGGATAGCCTTTATGTTGACGTTGTTCAATAGTGCTCCCATGTCCATTTATACACTGCACAGATTGCCATTATCTGACCTTCCCTAACAGGTGGCAGTGCAACTTTAAAAAAAGTCCCAGTTGAAATGTGATTGTATCTGACCGGGAATGATGGTTGCTATGCGTTTCCAAAATCTACAGTACAAATAAAGTTTTGTTTGAAAAGTACGTGCGCACACACGCACATGGTAAAAGGAAAGATAAGAGAACACTGTAGGGATAGTTCTTCAATATACCTGACACAGGGCTTCACAACCAAGTCTTAACGCAAACCAGAGTTCTGTGCTCGCTGCATGTGTAGACACTGACTAATTCTTCTCTAGTTAAGCACGTCTTGGGTAAAGGCAGGAAAGGACGTGCCACATTTAAAAAAGCACTGTAAGTCAAGGTCAGTTTACTGGGAAATAAACCTCGTAAAGGCAAACCACAGCAAAAGCAAAGGAGAAGTGTACAGTTCAACACAGCTCATTCCCTCAACACGCAGAGGCAGCAGACTTTAGCATTCAGGGAGGTCTGCATCCCACCAGCATTTTATAGGTCTCTACGTCTTAGCTTTTCGCAGCTCCTAAAACAATAGATTTATTTTTTCCAAGTCGACTGCATAATTAGAAGATTAGTTAACATCAAAAGCAGCCCACTCATGGGCTCCCAGGGGCTGCTGAAGATCGCATCTGTTTTAGACCACACAACACTACCCCCCCCCACCACCATCACTCATCCAGCTTTCAAAACCTGCTGCAGCACCTTTAAATAGTCAACTGCACTCTGGCAACTGCAAAGTGGAAATCCCAGAAGTGCGCTGGACGTCGAACAGCGAACCCACGCAGCAGGTCCTCTGGGGAAGACTCCTTTCCTTCTCTCGCCTTGCGGCGCCTCCTTCCTCTTCTCCCGACAGATCTCCTCCTCCGTTAAATTTACAGACACAAAGAGACAGAGCCCTCCGAACGCAGGGCGCCTGTCCTCCCCCTCCCCCGGGGCTCGTTAGCCCGATCATCCTCGGCGCCTTACCTTATGTACGCTCTTGGGGTTCTCCAGCCATGCATAGTACATCTCCTCCACATAGTTTGAGCTAGTCCCGCTGAGGAAGGGCTCGGCGGCCACAGGCGCAGTGTAGCACCTGATTGGCTGAAACGTCCTCGGGGCCGCCGGCCTTTTGTGTGAGAAGTTCTGAGCAGTCTGAGAGGCCGTGAGAGGCCTCAGCTTGGCAGCACAAGTCCTTAACCGGTGCATTGCAGTCCCTTAAAACGCACGGCTCCGCCGGCCACCCGCTACTGAAAATCTCTCTTTTTCCCGTCTCGCTGTCGCCCTCTTTCTCTCTCTCTCTCTCTCGCTGGGATTGCTGTTCCCTGGAACTCTCCTCTGCGCGTCCCCGGCGTCGTCCTCGCGGATCCCCACGCCCTGTCTCTGCAGAGGCACCGGGAAACAACGGGAGGAAAGACGACAGCGTTACAGCGATCGCGAATTCTCAGGTCACTGTGGCTGTTGTCGAATGGGCATGAAAAAAAAAAAAACAACAGATTCTTGAAAGCTGCTTTACACAACAGTGAGTCACAATGGAAAAATGCACATTTCCCTAAAGAAAGGAAAGCAGAATAACCAGTATTCTAAGTGTCGGAATGTTTTCTGGACGCAGTTTAGGAAAAACAATGGTGACAGTCACTCAGCACGTGATGAGGAGGACACCATTCCCCAGTCTAGCTTTTGTGGAATAAACCTTGCCCTTTCTATGCCGGATGTTAACATTTTTGTTACGTTAATCTCATTGACAAACATTAGAAGCCGAAAGCCCCAAAGCTAAATATAAATACGACTTCACTGGTCTGAAAAGCAGAACCGGACCACAGTGTAGTCCTCGAGCCACCCTAATGTGACCCAAAGCAGCATTATATAATATCTGAACTTTTAACTGTGTCATTAATAACACAGCACAGCATCGAAATGCTCTAGTGCACACAGAAAAGTGCTACTTAAAGCAACAACATGTGTTGTACTACAAGACCCGAGTCCCGCAGAAGACAGATCATCTTTAATGTTCAAGGAATTTCTATTTACAGAAAGCAGGCCAAACATTCCCAGAACCACAACTATAGCCAGGTCTGATCGCCAAACACTGCAGAGAGACAGCCCTAGTGTCTACTTCAATTTAGCCTACAGGCCTCAGTTGCTTCTGTGCAATACGTGTACCCTACCTACCTAAAACCCCCAGGCCACCACAATGCACAGACATGCAGTATGGAGACGGAAGGTGTTTTTCTTTACACTGACCCCCAGAGACATTTTGAGAGAGGCGAGAGTAGCCTTAACAACCTGACAAAGGCCTGCCAAATCACAGAAGAACTGAAGAATGACTCTGCTGTCAGAGGAGTTTTCGCTGTAACTGAGACAACAGCTGTAGAGAGAAGTAGAGGTGTTGGATATATAAAAAACACGATGGCACATACACTGTAATCCACTGTGGAATCTGTATATTTGTAAGAGGTGAAAAATGTAACATAAAAGGAAAAGGTGAAATACACTGCGAGTAAAACAACTTTGCTGTACCCTCCCATGTCAAATTCCTTCCCTAAACCTCAACCCTGATTACTTCATTTAGGTATCCAGCGGAGAAAACGGTGACAGTGGGTTTCCTTATTTGGCAAAGCTGTTTCCGTCTGCAGTCTAGGGAAGGAAACGCCCTGCAGTCACCAGTCACCTGAATGGGCCTCTGTCAAGGCCCTTGTGTCAGAGACTCCTCTATCACTTGAGCTCTCAGGGGCTCCTTGTCAAGTAACCCCCCCTTGTCCTGGGGACGCAGGCTGTGGCCCGAGGTCTAGAAGAACCTGAGAACCAAACCTGATTTGTTCAGTTCACGTCCCGAGGGGCAGCACGAGGTCACGTGGGGACCCTCTGCTTCTTACTCAACACCCTCACAGGGCGGGCCAGGGCGTGAGCTGAGCTCCAGGGCTACGGCTCTCCTCTTAATAACACCTAACGCTCTGTCGCATCGCTTCTGGAACCTGCAACATGCAAAGCCTGACTTTTATCACTTGTTTGACAACGCAGGTTCATGCAAGCTTTCGAGCTTATCTCAGGCGTGTCCCCAGGTCAGCCTGTGGTCACACCGAGAACTCAGCTTCAGCTGCCAATGGCTAAGGCCTATTTGGCAAGAGGAAGTGTGCCTTCAGCTTGCAAAGTTGAAATCCACACAGTAGATTTTTTCTCTACTGAGCAGGAAGACAGATCATCGGAGCAGACATGTACAGTCAGTAATGTGGGTCCTGTGCGGGCTCTGCCTACCACAGTCAAGACCTGCAACTCCAAATATTCATTAACTGTGGCTCAGGAACACGTGAGCTGTCTGGCAGCTTGCCCCAGTCAGGATTCTCACAGAGCCAGAAAAGAGATTCAAAGTTTCAGTTTTAAAAACTGCACATATTGGGATCCAGAAATATACACGGGCAGTAAAAAAAAAAAAGAAGGATATGTGGGAGGAGAATTCACGGAAGGTCCAAACTCCATGTCTGCAAGTCAAATCGGAAAAGTCTGACTTTGGTTTGTCCAGTAAGAAATCTAATCAGATGAGCATCACCTGTTCCATCCAAAGGGGTAAAAACAGGATTAAGTGTTCCATGTTCCATGTGCAGCTAATTCATAATCCAAGACAATGTAACCTGAATTCTTCTCGGGACCCTTCCTCTTAAACAAACCAAAAAGACAATTAAAACATTCGTTTGTTCAGCCTTGTCTGGGGGGGGGGGGGCAAAGGGCAACTGCTTGAAACATGAAAGAGAAGAAAGTCCCACAGACTGTCATCATAGGACTCAAATTTCTATGGAGGAAGAAGGTTAAAGATGGAGTCTCGGGCAGAGCTCGCCATGGGACAAGAGGAAGCTGATGCTGGCTGGTGTTTCTGGGCAGGAAAATGAAGATCCACTCAGGTTCAGATCAGGGAAGTGTCAGGCAAACCAGACTACAGGGCACACAGTGGCATGTTTGAGGATACAACAGTAACAACAGAACTCAAGCTGATGGCTCCCCCATCTTCAGGACTGCTCCTGTGCTCCGTATGCAGTCATGTGCTTTCCTGCACAATGTACCACATCAGCAATTACTGTGGCTCTCCCTCGTCTTGCTACAGCAACTGCCGTGAAGTCTAACTCCATCGATCCGTTATCGGAAAACTGCGGATTGCTGATATGCATCCTGGAGCCTCTCTCCCAGTGGTTGGGATACTGTGGATGGGACACAGGTCCGTCACCGGGCCCGCTATACCTAGTCAGCAATTGTTTTTACCAAGTGCTGCGATTCCCTCCCACATTCCAAGCTTCTCACAGAAACAGACCCAGGCTGGAATCGAAGCCAGGACCCAGTTAACTACCATGCTGCCCTCCATTCCGTTTGTATTGAGATAAACGTGAGGTGACTAAGCTCCTCGTCCAGTGCACACATACAGACCTCATCCACTCAGTGCTGTACATCACGCTGAAGCTACTATGAATCATCGGCACTCACCACTCACGAGCAGCACAGCACTGATGCGGCTCATCACAGACACCCGTGTCTGTGAAACTCACTCGTTCCTCTACGTTACATCTAAAACTTCACGGTGAAGATTGTGCCGTGTGCACCAAGCCGAACAGCATGAAATGAAAAAATAAGGCCCGCGCCTATGCGCCGCACAAGGTGAGAACACAAGCAGAAGGAATGATCCAGGACCCAGAGAGAGTGGACACCAAGCAACAACGCAGCAAACAGATTGCGACTGCAAACAACGCTAGCAGGCCTGTTGTGAAAGGATGACATGCCTCCTTCCTAAGGTTATTGGAATGCTTTCACAGAGGTACGTTATGATTTTTTTTCCTTCTCCAATTACAGAAGAAGAATGGGCTCCTGTCGACATTCTTGTGCAAGTCCCTGCATCACTCAAGCAGGGCTCTGAACAAGTCACAGGCTTCGCATCCTGCTGGGTAGCCCCAGGACTGTGTGGACTGATCTCCAAGTCCATCAGCACCTTTAAGCCCTGAGATGTATTTCTATCCGTTTCTAATTTTACTGTGAAGATGGTGTACTGTGAAAAGAGATACAAAAGGAGTGCAAGCTCCACATGTAAATGGCCAAGAAAAGATCTTATATAAAAGATCACCTATATGCGAACTGCACACTTTTAATTGTGAAATGCAAGAGATACTTCATTTTTTACATGTTATCTGCTTTTCAAGCCCTTGCTGCTTCTACAGCCATGTATCTTCTGTTCTGTTTGAGCTGAACAGCGTTTGTGGCTGAATAACAGACAACTCAAAAGAGCCCTGTTCAGCACAGACCCAAGAAGAGGCGATGGTGGTTGGGGTAGGTCCCAGCACATAGAACTTTGCCCTTTTGCTCGTTTATTTCTAAGCGTTGGAGTAATTTATGCATTCCTCATTATGTATTGATTGCTGAAGTCAGCATTAAAAAGAAAGACTAGAGTACTGTGCGGGGCTGTAAAAAAAAAAAAGTGTTATCTCGCCTCATGCTTCCAGGAACGCACACAATGTGCGCACACACACGCGCGTTGTGTGTGTATGCGCGGGTCTCTTTTCATGGCAACCCGTAGCCGCAGTGAGTGCAGCAAAACAGCCCTCCTTTAACAACTAGGCAGCTTTCTGCAGCACGGGGACCCGGTCACAGTTCTGCGCTGAACCTCCAGTGAAGTTCCCAGAGAGCCTATGTCCCCCCCGCGTCTTGTTTGTCCCACTAGCGGACTACGCTTATGTCCTGACCTTGCGTCCTCGCTATACTGCACTTTCTCTCCTTAAACTCAACCAAGCCCAGTCCCGCCCGGCTCAGTCCCGCCTCCATCCTTGCTAAAAGCTACGCTGATTGGCTGCGTTAGCAGCAGCCCGCCTACACCGCGGCGGTGCGATTGGGTCGTCGCTACTGTCCATCACTGTGTCCTTTCCTTGCGTACCGGGTTACAGAAACAATTTTGCTAGAATATTTCAGCCACCTTTCCTGCAGGGGAAAGAAACTACAGCCTGGCATTCCCAAGGCCTGCCCGGGAGTTCAGACAGGTACTACAGAAGGTCTGCTCCCATCGCTACCTATTACTAAAAGATCCTAAGTTACTTCTCTATGCCGTCACAGAGATGTGCTTCATTCCCCCGGTTTTTAGTCGCGCCGTTCTTTTTCTAAATGCAACCTATCTAGAAATAATGCAGAGGACTTACGTTTTGTTCTCCTTTAGTCGGTTAGCGGGTGAAAGTCTGTAAGTATTTCGGCGAATATTAGTTAACTAGCGGCTCGGCACCTCACAGCCGCACTGCCCTCCGATTCTCCAGACTGGAAATGACAGCGCGCGGAGCAAGACTACTCCGAGTCCAGGCCTTCTGCGTCACCGCGCTCTGACGTCACGAACAGGAATTTTGGCGTGCCGCACCCTCACGCTGGGAGACGTAACCTTAGCTGAAAGGACGAGCTCGCCGTTTGTTAAGCGTATTGTAGTGCCCGTTAGGAAAAAATATTTTTTGCTAAATAAATATAAAAAAGAAGCAACCGTTTTATTCCTCAGCTTTTTACATTGTGAATTACACGTAGACAAAATAAACTCTTTAGGAAGAAGTTTGCTACTTAAAGTCCTGACGGGAGGAAGCGTCCTGATTTCACGAGGTCCGGTGTTTACTAGTTGGGTTACGCTCGGTGTTAAATCCAGGCCCCGAGCATTGGGAATGTGCGTTGCTAAAGGTTTTGTCACACCGTGCTGTGTGTGAGTGGGGAGCCTCCCTAACCTCTTTAAGATGAGTTCACCTGTGTGTTGCTGTGGTCTTGGCCCCTAGAGACCAGAAATCTGCCGCTGCTAGGTGACAGGATGGGATGTGAATGGGAAACTCTAGAGCAGCCTTTGGACAGTCATCCCTGCTGATGTAATGAAGGGCTTGGTGGGAGTAGGCCAAGGGTGGTTTCTCACCCTGGTTACAGTCCGCATGAGGCGTGCCTGCTCCTGACCAGCTGTGCTCCTCTCCCACCTCAGCAGAGAGGCCGCTGCTGCCCTTCCTGAGGCCAAAGAGTGGTGGTCAGTTTTACAGCTGTGTGAGAAGTGAAAACTCTGTCCACCCCCACCCCAAACACCACTGCGTGAAACGCTGTCAATTCAAGCTTTATCTTTTTCAATTCAAGCTTTATTGTCCCCTAGGGGAAATTAGTTTCACGACACAAACACAACACAATGACAAATGCACATCATCAAAAGGGAAGAGAATACAGAAGTGTTACAGGAGAAAAGAAACAAGAGACAAGGTAGTGACTTTGCATTGTTCAAGAGTGATTGCAGTGGGGACGAAAGATTTCCTGAGTCTGTTGGTTTTATACCTGGGGGGCACAGAGGCATTTCCCAGATGGGAGAAGTGTGAATTCACAATGGAGGGGGTGAGACACACACTCCCTGATGCTTTTGGCTTTCTTAGTCACCCTCTGTTTGTAAAGGATGCTTAAGTTGAGGGGTGAGTCAGAGAGGCCCTTCCCCCAGTGCAAGCTGCACCAGTCTCAGAAAGCGCTGTGCCAGTGTGATTCTGAAGTCTCTGTGCAGGCCTGCTGCCTGGTACAGAAACATGCTGTATGTCTGTCTCACCTGCATCTGTATAGCTGGTGTGGGAGCACAGTCCATCTGCGTCCGTGCAGGCCTGCTGCCTGGTGCAGAAACATGCTGTGTGTCTGTCTCACCTGTGTCTGTATAGCTGTCTTTGGGTGTGGGAGCACAGTCCATCTGTCGATGTGAGAGGCTGCGTGCGGGTGTTGTGTACATGTGCCTCCGGGGGTGTGCGTGATCTCGCTGTTATCACTTCGCCTGTGATAGTGAGTGCTGGTGGGGGGGGGCGGGGGGGGGTCAGGAGGAGAGACTTTGTCCTTTGTTGTGCAAGGAGGAGCTGGACTCTGCTCACACCAGCCTTGCAGCATCAGCACAGCGGGGCGCCGAAGGGGTGCCGGGGGGGGGGGCGCATCTGTGGCCAGGTGGAGGGGTCAGAGGGGGATCACGTCCGCAGGTGCGTCGATACGAGAGCCGTCATTTCCACGTCACGAGAGGTTTCTGCCCTGTCAGCTGGTGCAAGTGCATTCCTCCTCTCTGCCAGAAATCAGCGAGACAGCAGCTGGCAATGAGGAAAGGGAACTCTTCGTCCGCCGGACAGACTGCAGGAGACACCGGTCACCACAGGGTGTCATCACCTTGCCCGGAACACTATAACTTCCTCGTTTTATCAGCTTTTGCTCAGTGGCAGCTAAAGAATCTGGCTATTCCATCCACCCATCCCTTTTTAAATTCTTTATTTAATTAAGGGTTGTGGGGGAGTGCCTATCCCAACAAGAAACAGGCACAAGGACACCCTGGACAAGACAGGACGGCACTCCATCACCGGGCACACAGTCTCGCACCAGGGCCAATTTTCCCAGATGCCAACTCACCCAGTATGTCTTTGAACTGTGGGAGGAAACTGGAGCACCCAGAGGAAACCCATGTGGACCTGGGAAAAACATACAAACTCCTCACAGACAGTACTCCAGGTGCTACAAGGCAGCCATGCTAGCCAACGATAAAAAGACATTTTAATTAGTTTAAGCCAGGATCCACTGGATCAGCTACAGTCCTTCTGGCATTTTCAATGTTTTTCAGACAGAGGAAACGACAACAGCAAGGAGAAAGAGAGAGAGAGAGAAGGGAGGGCTTATATTGAAGTTGTTGCTTTTATTGATAACATTTTAACACATTTCCTTAAGTCAGAGAACACATAGAGCACATCGGAGAACAGTAATCATCAGAATAATCATCCGAGAAATAGAGTAGTTTAATATCTTCATAGAAACCAGAACTGACAGAAACAAAAAAGAAAAGAAAAGAAGGTTTTAAACTGCGGAGAAACTATACTTTGAAAAGAAGGACAAGGGGGGGAAGAAAGGCAGAAGGAATACTACAAAGAGTCGTCAGCTCGGTGTTGTCAGGCAGCAGGAGGAGAGAGAGAGAGCAGCGTCGTACAGAGCCGAAGAGCTGAGCGGACGCAGGACCACCTCTCCGCGGGGCAGGCGGCTTGACCCTGGGCTGGAGGAGCGACGAGAACCCCGAGCGAGTCGGGGTAAGCCCCTCCCCCCCAGTTGCTGCCCCTCCCTTTCTTGTTTCGGAAGGGCGGTGTGGTTCCCCCGCCAGCTCCCCCCCACCCTCGCTGCGGGACCCTGCAGTGGGACTGTGACGGGAAGAGCGAATCATGCTACACGGATGTTAAGGTCCTGTCGTCTTCCGGCGGCGCTGCTAGGGGCACTGGGCGAGGACCAGGGCTGCACTGGCCTTCAAGCGACACCTGAGCGCCTGCCGGCCACTACCGCACAAGCTGCGTGGAAGTGCTGGAGTGTCCTAGTGTCGCATCGTGGGCGCCTCCTGCTGCGATAAAGGGCCCGGGATTAAGATTAAATCTGCACCATTTATTACAAACGTGCCACACCCTTGTCTTTAGTTTTAGTGTCCTTGGAATAATTTAGTTTTCAAGCCACAATGCTGTTTGTCCTCTAAACCAGGTCAATCGAGATAAAAGATTATAAAACACATTAGATCTACCCTGAAGAGAAAACAGAATCGAAAATTTGGACCCCGATGGAGATAAGGAATAAACTGTTTTAAACTTTTGTTTTTACCAAGGTGCAACTGCATTGTAAAAACTGTGCCTTCCACATATCATGTTTAAATAAACATGGCATTTTCAATCACACGCAAGCTCTTAACAACAAACGAAAATAATTACTGTTCTATCAGCCATTATTCTTCACTTTTTAATCGAAAATTTGACAGCATTGGATTGCGCCATCTAGCGTACGTGTACGTAGACCGCAGGTCTTATTTACAAAGGAAATTCAGCAGGATTAAAAGCAAACGTATACTGTTTTCTTCGGACACCCGGCAGCTCACGTACAGGTTTGTCTGGAGTTTCAGACTGAAAAAACAAGAGAATTCAAGAGCGAAATAACTGTAACCCATAACCGAGGTGTTGAAAAGTGATGGACTGCGCTGAATTTCAAACCAAGTAACAACAGTCTTGCGAGTGGTCATGGCTTCGTGATCGTAAACTGTATTTTGACCCTTTTAAAAATAGACGATTGACTGAAGAATTTTGATTTGATTTAGTGGAGCAGCGGTTTCCCCGCTACAGGTGTACGGCGTGGAAGGCCCCACGCGGGGCATCAACAAGCGCAGACTTTGCATTCGCACGAGGCTACGGGAGCGGAACCTGCTGCAGCTGAGGTAGAGCAGTCTTCTCTTTAAAAGGCTTCCGAAAAGGCGAGACCAGTGTACAGTGTTTGACTGAAAACAAAAAGAATAAACATATCCGTAGGTTTGAGGGGGCGGAGAAACAGAACGGCTCTCCTGTCGACTGAAAATAGGGTTTCAGGCGCCCTATCACAGGTGGTTCACAGGTGGTTCACGGGTGTTGAACGTCCGAAACCACGCTACCAGGTTAAGAAGAACCAGCCCTAGCGGTCAATACAAGTATTGCAATCCCCCCCAAAAAAGACGAAAACCGATGCAAGTCGTCTCTCATCTCGATTTTTTTTTCACCCAAACAAAGGGGGAGGAAATTATTCTCCTTCCCTGAGAATGCAATTAAAACAATGGAAGATGATTTAGTAGCTAGACAAGAGTTGGGAAAAGAAGACTCTGTAACAGAGTGAAATGGGTCAGGCTCCTCTGGCAGTGCTTGAGAGGAGCTGGCGGTAGCTAAGACCATCAGCTGGGCCCGCCAGGAGATGGTGTGACTGGTGTAGAGCCCACCCCCCTCGCCCCCTCCCTGGACCGGCAGCTGTGAGAAGCATGAACAGGTCCCAGCCCCGCAGACCACAGGAGGCATGTCTTTCTGCTCTGGTAAGAGCCTGCGGCAAGGCCAGAACACTCTACAGCTCCCTCTTCGGAAGAGGCCAGCACCTCGGAGATGAAGAAGAAAGAACATAAGACTGGTCACCAGGAGACGCGGAGGAACGCAGGCTGCAGTCTGGTGTGCTCAAGTGAGATGAGCTTGACTTGGGAGAAGAGAGCTGAAGCCTGGTCCAGAAACTCTCCTGAAGAGGAGATCATGTGACCTTGGAGGGGGGCTCACAGTTCCACAGACCTGCAGTTGTTCCAGCTGCCAGGAACATGTGACTGGGACCCTTTGGTTCCAGAAAAGGACAAACGCATGGCCAGACTTTCAGTCATAGCCGTCAGGCTTTTCCGTGGAAGACTGTCGGGCTTCGAGAAACTCTCCAGAACCCCAAGCAGAGGAGCCAGCAAGATGCTGAACTGGGAAAACTGCAGCAAAAGTCCATTGCATTGACCTGTGACCTGAGGGAGAAGAATGAGGTCCTACAGCCTAATGAAGAGCAGAAGAAGAGTCAGTGTGGTCATCTGAGACACTGATGAGTGAATGCCCATTTCAGAACCACCTGACACAAGAAAACAGCGAGCTGCAGACCCAGCTATACCATGAGCCTCCAGGCGGTAGTAGAGGAGGCCCAGTAGGTAATGGCCATCCTCCTAGATCTCTAGTCCAGAGTCTCTTGCACTGCAGTGAAGTAGTCCGTAGAGGTGTTCCCAACTCAAGCAGGCCCTTGCGGAGAGGAGAGGTGGAGGACACAATTCTCTTTACAGAAGCCCAGTTACAGACCAGCCAGAGTAACAAACTACTCCAGAAAGAAGAACTCTAACAACTGAACGTTTGTCTACACTCCTAATCTTTTGCTGGAAAACTCTGTCTGTGGAAAAAGATGCCAAGAGGAAGCGAGTTCTGCTCAGACTGAGAAGGGCAGTGTGCAACAGCTGCCACGGCAGTGACAGATGGAGGAGCTTCGGGAGGTCTTCCCATGGATGCACAGCAGGAAATCGGGCTGTAGGAAGTGAAAGTCATTATTAGCCCTTCACCATTTTCCCTGGGGAAACCCTATTGACCCAGCACAAGGAGGCAGAAGGGTCTCGGAGAAGACTACAAACCTATAAGCAAGGTCGTCCTGTGCAGTCTGAAGACTTCTGGAGGAAGGTGGAGCAGGGGAGGCTGCCCTGGTCCCCAGATCCAAAGGATTAAGATGTCCCGTCTTAAGTGCTCAATGGGGAAGAGTACCGTAAGGTCTTGAGAGTTTTACCCTTTAGCCCTAAAGGACTGGGGAAGTACCATATTTAGTCTTTGGGAAAGAACTTGGTCCTTTTCCTGGGGGAAAAGAGATTGCATCCTCACCTCAAGTCTAAGACTGAAAGAATTGTTATGGAAAAGGGCTCAATCAAAGAGGACGGCTCCCTGGACTGGATGTTAAAGTGCTTGTTTAGGAGGAGTAGCACGTCTCCTGAATGGACTGGCTCTGCCACAAGAGGCTGCCTAATGATGCCTCACCACCTTCAAAATCCACACTGCGTGCAGGCACTAGCAAAGTAAGCAGCCATAAAGACCCGTCTCTCAGCTGCAGGGTATTTAGACGGCAAGATGGTGGACATGGGTGGGTAGGAAAGGTGCAAGAGAGGAAAAAGTACAGTTTGGCTCGTGGTTGCACTCTCTGAGGAGTGGGTTTACTCCAAGGGTTATGAAAGGAAATGACAGCAGGGCAGAGTACGGTGTGCTCACTCCAAAGGGTTGAGGGTAGCAAGAGGGTAGTCTTGCCTGAGGTTAGAATGGAGGCTGGGAGTGGTGTCTGAGCCCACTAGGTTGGGCAGAATGGAATCCTAGCAGACGCAGTAGATGGTGGCATGGGTGCTAGTCTGGGTTCTTGAGTAATAACCCTGCCCAGACAGGATCAGCCTGGCAGGGTTGAGTAGGTTACTAGGTCACTACTTCGAACAGCTTCCTGGTGGTTGAAGCTATAGTGTTGGTGAATTAAAAATGAGGGGGGGAAAAAGACAAAACGGGGGTAAACTTAATGGCTTTCCCTTTCCCCAATAAGGGAAAGTTTACGGTTTACACATCTTGGAGGGGATGTGGGTTGCTGGGTAGGGGTGGGAGGAGTGGTCTAGATTGAATGGTTGGCCATGAAGAATGCACCTACCCGCCATGATTCTACTTCATACAAAAATCCCCGCTGAATGCAGGTCCATGGGATATAATGGCAGTGGTGGCCAGGGAGCACTCCTGGTGATGTTGGCTAGGGAGAAGAAAGCCCCGTCTCCCTGCTGCTACTGTGAGTTTTCCTGGGGAGGGAAAATGGCTGCGGTTGTTATTTGACAGAGAAACAACTCACCCCACCAGCCTCCCTGACCTAGTGGAGGTCATGGTTGAACAGCTGCAGAATGGCCTTCGTCTGCAGATGGTTCCTGGCTTTGCAGGTGTTCTGTGTTTTGGCCATGGTCCTGTTGATGCCCTAGCTTTAGCGCGTTGCCTTGCGTTACGCTGTAACTCCATCCTGGAGATGGAGCTGGGTGGGGGTCGTGGGGGAGATGTGCAACGGAGCTCATGCTTCTCTGAGCGTTTGTGTTACAGGTGAGCGGTGTAGAGGCCATGTAGGGAGAAAAATAGAGCAGGCTTTCACACAAGGTTATAAGCACAAAAATCTATGGTGGCCAATTCAGATCGATCTATTCCATAGAAGCTGCTCTGTCGAGTCAGGCTGGTATTAACCGTTAGAGCAGGGACAAACACTTGTATCGTGCTTTTTCACGACTAGCATCATCTGAAAAAGATTTTATTCCTTATCAATTACAGGGTCTGACATTCAGCAGTATTTCAACGTCAAGGATAAACACTTCAAATTAAACATTTAAATCAATGAATTAGCTCGGTTAAATAACTGGCTAATACTTCCAAGAGCGCAGCCGGATAATCTGTGCCTGGGTGTGATCCATCTACAAATGCACGTGCTGTACGAACACGCTGCTCTCGATCAGCTCTGCAGTGCAGACTCCCGCTGCCGTGACAACACTGAGCCCTGTACAAAAGCATGCCATACAATCATCATGACAGGTTTATCATCATCATCATCATCATCTTGAGACAAAAATAGTTTTATGCACTTACAAAGCTCAGAAAATAGAGAAAGGTTCATAGTTTTACAGCATTCAGTAAAAAAACAAAAAACACCAAACTTATTGTCCTGTAGAATGTCATGCAAAGAAATCCCATCTATGATATTACTAGGTAACTGCAGGTCAGCAATATTTTTTCTTAGATTTTTTTTTAAAATGATTATTTTTGATGCTAAACACACTGAAGAACAAAAGACCATTTTCAACATGCGGCTATTTCTCCTGGGGGGGGTATTTTTTTTTTTCCTTTTCCGTTTTTTTTTTTAAATTGCGCGCACGCACACACATCCATATCATCACATCAAGCACCGGGGTGAACAAAAAAAAGAAAAGGACCAAAAAAAAAAACCCCTAGCGCATCACAGATTGCAAGTGGCTTGATCGTACCGGTTTTTGCTTAACCTTCAAAGTCTGTAACTTTCCCTCTAGTTTGACTCCCCCAAGTCCCTTCATGGTGAACCCAGATGTGCACAAAATGCCTCTGGAAACTGAATTTTCACCCCTAAAATCGGATCGCTCCAGCAGGCTGTCTCCAGACAGAGCAGGTATCAGCAGCTGGTCTGGTAACAAAAAATGATTTCAAAATTCACCCTCATCTTACTTTCCACAGAACATTAGCGTACGTGAAGGTACTGCAGTGAATTAAAGGAGGCTGTGTTTTGCCGGAATTAACTCCTAAATCCTACAAGTTTCAAGGCCCTTAAAAAAGATCCCTCTACATGTCCTTGGTCAGCTTGTGATCTCCCCCCGATCCCCCCCCCCCCCCCGACCCAGACTGTGCACAGCGTCTGTACTGCCTGGCCTTTCTTTAACTGAATCAGTGACATCCTGTCTGCAGTACTGTTTGCTGCCATTTCCAAGCAGTGACACTGATTCCACTGGCCTGCACAACAGATGTGTTCAGACCCAGCTGTATGGGTCTTGCTGCCCTAGGGAGGTCAGCAGTACCTACGGGACTGCACAGTGCGAGCATCACCAGTGCCACAGCAAATTTCACTGCTGGACTCTCCTCTGCTGCGCCTCCCTTCCTGCATCGTCACAGTTTCCCTTGCAGCTCCCTGGAGCGCCACATTGCTGAGCACAATGTTTGCTTTGTGCTTCGAGGGCAGCACACAAGAAGGCTCGGTGCCTCGAGCTGGCAGCCTGGTCACTGTGTCCCTGCTCTGAAGTGGGATGAACGATGGGCATGCAGCCCAGAATCGGGTCCAGGCATCAGGTTCTGCACAGCCAGGCAGTGCCAAGTATCCATAGCACAAAAGTGGTTGGATTAAAACTAACTGGGATTTCATACTACAGAAGAGCCCTCCCCCATCAGTTCAACATGCTGGAATTATCCAGGTTCCATGCCAATGGTAAAACTTTAAGCATATGCATCAGGCCCTGCGTGATGCGTAAGGCCAGGCTCCCGGGTTCGAGCACGTTTGTATGTGCTCCCTTTTTCCATGTGTTGTCACATACCTAGCATCTGTCTCGTCAAGACTGCTCAGTATAATATGGGAAGGCTCTGCACGTCTTGAAGAATTATACTTCTTCAATGCCACCCCTCACGCAGAACGAGAGGTCTTGTTTCCTGTGCTAGAGCTTTGTTTTACAGTGAACAGCCTCCATACTTTCACACATCCAAGCACAAGGCTCCTAAGACCAGACCACTTACAGACCGCAATGCCCCAGCCCTGCTTTGGGGGGCGAATTCCAAATCCAGGTAAGACTGACCCCTCTGTGGATTTGGCCCTTCCTGTCACCGGCAATGTGACATCAAAACACTCCCCCCCCCCATCACACAGCTTACTATAATAACAGCAATGAAACATTCGACACACCCATGGCCTTTTTCTGAAATTTGGAAAACCTGGTAAAAATAAAATAATAAAAAGTACAAATAAATACAGAGATCATTTCAACACACATGAAATAAATTAAAACTTTCAAAGAAAGCAGACAATCCCCCTGAAAACTCCCCAATAACACCGTTCAAATCCCAGTGACCTACATGAAAACAAGATGTCCAAACTCGCTCCTAAAGTGAACATGAATCCCAATCAAATAAATACAAAATAATAGATATGCTTCAGTTTCTGACCTCTTCACTCAAACCTGCGCGTGTACATAGAATTCAGTACAACGCAGCCCCTCTGCGCCTCAGAGGCTCCGAAACTGCAAGAAAACCCCTTATTCCCACACATGGGCCTCATTGCAAGACCCGGGAAATAAGCATTCCAACCCCTCTGCAATGGCGGGGCGAACAAAAACCCGGAGAGACCAGTGAAAAAAAAAGACGGATTTTGGAAAACGCCTCTGGAGAGCTTCCCGCCGATGCGTATCCCCGCGCGCAGATCGCCAGGGAGAGAAACGCGTCTGCGCAGGAGTCTGCGCCAGTGGCGGTAAACCAACCTCGGAAGAGATTTAAAGTGAGAGCCCCTCCCCTGCTTTCCCTTCTTTCTGCTCGCCTGCAAACTCTACCATCACCACCCTGACAAGGAGAAAGAGTACCGAAGCAACAACAAGGATCCTGCAAGCACCGTCTATGGACCATAGCCAATAAGACGCTGAAAAGCACTTGGTTTGACTCTCCGCTGGAGATGGAGAGACTTTCCATTACCAGCATCAGCTCCCAGAAGCAGTAAATCTCTTCGCTGTGCCTCTTTCAGTGACAACGCCCAACGCCAAACACAGCAGCCTTCCTCAGAGAGCAAATGCACTCCTCCAAACCCTAAAGTCTCCTGCAAAAACAAGTCCGAAACAAGACACACCTCCTGCTGTCCTCATTAGGATACAAGAACAGACCCTGGGGTGTGGATAACACTTGTCTGTAAACTCTGGTAATTATCAGTCAGTGATGAGAGAGTCTGCTCTGCAGCCCCAGAACATCCAGGAACATCCACTTTCTGCTACATTCCTTTTTAAAAACTCCACACAACACCCACTGCATTTCTCGCTACGGGCATCCTGTTTGCTCAACACAGATTCGTCTTCGCTACCTGTGGATTATTGTCAGAAACCTCACATCCCCTGTTCTGGTCCTTCCCACAGTGGGCTGATTGCCCGGGCGACACCTATCGCCGACAGAAGCTACGTTCTCGTACTTGCAGAGTACAAGCTCAATCCTGGGCTGGGACAGCTGCGTCCTGGAGCCAGCCCCCCTGGGGGGGATCCATTCCAAATCCAGAAGCAAAGCTGACCCATCAGGCTTATCTTTGACAGCAGAGAGTTTTCCAAGCAAAAACTGGGACAATGCAAATTGGGATCTTATAGTACAGCAAAGCACAGCGCAGTTCTCTGGGAGCTGCAGTTGTAAAACTATGGGACGGTACAATACTGGGAATATTTTCATGATGCACTAGTATAGCTGGGTATGGAGGAAAGGGTTGCATGCAAGATGAGGCGTTGGCGTGTATGAGCCTCTTTGCTGGAGAGAGTCGGGCACAGAGAGGCTCTGCTGTAGAAAGTATTAGTACAGTAAAGTGGGAGTCTAGTAGACTGTGTTAATACAGAACAGAAGACAAGGCAGTGGAGGAGCAGAATGTAGGAAGTGTTATAGGAATACTGCACTGTGGCATGCTTAGAAAAGTATATCATACTACCACTGTCCAGAAGAAATGTAATATAGTACTTTTGGACTTGTGTAGTAGCCATATGCAGTAGATGATGTTAGTATAATACAGGAATTTGGTATATTATAGCGCAGCAAGAGAAATCAGTATAGTACTGAGATACGTTCCTGTAGAAGATGCAGTACTTTGAAGATCCATTCACTGAGGTGATCCCCAGCACAAGCCCTTAAAAGCCAAAAGTCTCACAAAAACACAAAAAACTAAAAACAAAACCTGTCACTCATGCTCATTAGCCTCATATAGCAAACTCTCCAGCACACAAAAGGATCCATATCACACTAAAGGGTTTTCACAAAATTATCAGACTGGCAGATTGGCAGAAGCAAGATAGCCAATCGTAACCCCTCTGCCCAAGTACGCATAGAAAACGTGAACCAATCATATCGCACTGCTCCAAATCAATCCCGTCCTCCCACCGCCTTCAAACTAAGAAAAACCTCTCCAGTTCTGACCTGGGCTCTCCTCTTGTTATTCCATTTCAGAACCAAACCACACAAGAATCGAACCTGGGCTGCTAGTAGAATTATAAACAGACAGAAGCATATACAAAACTGCCAATGTGTGTTTTACTCAAGCACGATAAAAACAGCCACTGAGAATACTGAAAAAACACTCATGCTTTAAAAAAAAAATTAAATATTCCTCTCTTATATTTCTAGAAACCACTGGCATCAAGAATATGAATTGTACAAATTACATATACAATCGCCATATTATAATAACCATAATCATAATAATATTAATAATAATAATGCATTTTGTTTAAAACTTTACATACTGTATTCGGAGCGCCTGTGCTTGGCACGGTAAACACTCAGCCAGTCGAGACAGAAATGGGATGACGTGATTAAAGAGTTGATACACAAACATGTGAGCGGATTAATACTGGACTGTTAAATAAGTCTTGTTTGATTCGCTGCTGATGCTGCTACTGTTGCTGCTGTCTTGGTCTTGAGTGGCGGTTGTCAGGATCCTTGGTTGTCATGCCGGAGGGTAGGTGAAGTGGATTATGGGATGGGTAAGAGGTTGTCCGGGTAGCCGGTAGATGATCGCTGGTCAGCTGGAAGGTTGCGTTAGCGGGCGCAGCACAGCAGCGGGCGGTTGTAAAGACGTGCATGCGGGTGAGGGCGCTGGCTCAAAGCTCGAACCCTGGACTCGCTCCCTCTTTCTCTCTCGCTGGCACCCTGTCAGACTCGGGCATTGCGGCCGCCCCTGCAACACAGACACAGCACAGGGCGCGGGTCAGCATGGGACCAGCGGCGCTGGCCAGTCCACCGCGTCCCTCGGTTTCAACAAACCTGCACGAGAAGCAGTCAGTGGGTACGCAGAGCTCAAAGGTGTCGCGAGAACCTGTGGCGAGGAAGAAGTACATAACACCAGATTCCTAAAACAATCCCCACCACACCCGAGTTCACACCTGATGTGTTCTTCTACACAGAAAACACAAGTCTGGAAAGTAACGTGAGCATCTTCAAGCGATGCGAATTCAAGAAACTGTGAAAACAGTTCTAAGGCACCGTTTAAGCTTTGCAACATCAGATCTTCTGACCTTCTTTCAAGAATGTGGTTAATCAAGCATGGCAGAAAATGATTCTGTGTCCCACTCAACTCTTATTTCTTGCAGCTACGGACCCTTACGCTGGGACTGCTCACATCTCATCTTGCTGTGCTTGCATCTGTGACCAGTTTATGAAGCTATACTTCTTATTACAGTAACATCCTCTATTTCTCTGACTTACATTGCACCTGAATAACAATATTAAGGAGAACTAAGAACATCAGCATAATTATTTATTCAATTTTGTAACCCCAAGATAATATACAGAGAACACTAGAACTGCATTCTAGATAACCGAGCACAGAAGAGATGAGGGGCCAGTGTAAATGTACTAGAATTATTCTAGATAAGCTAGCACAGCAGAGATGAGGGGCGAGTGCAAATGTACTAGAATAATTCTAGATAACCGAACACGGGAGAGACGAGGGGCCAGTGTAAATGTACTAGAATTATTCTAGATAAGCGAGCACAGCAGAGACGAGGGGCGAGTGTAAATGTACTAGAATAATTCTAGGTAACTGAACATGGGAGAGACGAGGGGCGAGTGTAAATGTACTAGAATAATTCTAGGTAACCGAAAACAGCTGAGACAAGGGGCGAGTGTATATGTACTAGAATAATTCTGGATAAGCCAGCCCAGCAGACACGGGGGGCGAGCGTAAATGTACTAGAGCAACTCTCGGCAGAAGGCAGAGCTGGGGTGGGTGGGCGAGCCGTACCTTCACTGTAGCGGCGCGGCAGGGGCCCCTGAGCAGTGGAAGTGCACGTTCTGCCACTTGCTGTCGCGGCGGTGCCACACGCGGGTCTCCTCCGACTGGCTGCTGCGCGGCCGGCCCTGGGCGTCCACGAACTGTGTCAGGCGGATGTAGGCGATGCAGGCGGCGTCCTCTCCGATCAGGTGGACGTGGGGGTTCAGGATGGTGGTGTGGATGGGCTTACTGTTCTTGGACAGCACTGAGCGAGAGCGAGGAGGAGGAGGGAGGATTGTTTTTGTGACATGAGAAGAGCAGTAATTACACGGCACAACGCCAACTCTTAAGCTGCACGATGACTGCAATCGGACTGTCTTTCACAAGGCCTGCTGAGCCCTTGTAACGTTTGTTTTGTGCTTTCCCCACATGCAGGCCTTCTCAAGCATTCTGCCCACCGGATTTCCTCCCCCAGCGCCTCCCTCCTCCCACCCTCTCTTCCCGGCACTCTTACAGTTCTCAAAGTAGAATCTGTGGAAGTCCATCCCCTCCACTAGGTTGCCCAGGGCCTCAGGTTCGAAGGAGGTCAGACCGGGGTCACATATTTTCCTGTGGGGGGAAAAAAAAACAAAACTGAACTTCCCCGCTGAAAGAAACTCATACTGCACACTGAGAGTGTCTGAAATACACCAGTGGCATCACAGGCACAGAACTATACGGCGGATTAAAAGAATGACACTGTATCCTGGGAGACAGAGGAAAAAAGCTCAACTCGCTTTGTGCTTCAATTTGTTCAATTTCAAGACTTCCTGGTTATAACAGAGAAGAAAAAAGGCCTACCTCAACACGGCTTCATTTTAACTCCACTAGGCTGTCTGTCTGTGCAGAATTGCTCTAAAATAAGCTAAGGGTGCATGAAACCTCCAGTAACCGGTGCATATTTTGTACAAGATGCTACAGCTGGTAAAATGACTCAAACTACAGTGCAACACCACTGTTGTGCTTAAGTGCAGCGCAGAGACACTGCCGAGCATCAGGGTCTTCACCGCCCTCAGCCAATCAGAGCTACCCCAGGACAGGCCCCTCGGCCCCGCCTCCCCCTGCCCTCCGCCCCAGCGACTCACGCGTAGGCCTCGAAGTCTCCGTTGTTGACGGCCTCGATCAGCTGCTCCGTGATCTTGATGATCTCTTGCTTGCGTGCTGAGGAGGAACCAGCAGCATCGTTACTACAGAGCGTTGGCACTGCCAGACCCAGCCAGCTGCAGGACGAGTGCTCACCTTAACCCGCACCATCATGACCTCACACAAACACACACACAAATTCAAAACCTCTTTCACACGCTCACTTCACATGTGTCACGTTTGCTGGTCCCTGCACGCATTCCACGAGCCAGTCACAAGTTCACACCTTCGGCCTCACAGATCACCCCGGAAACACCCCGGCCTCCAATCAGGGAGTTTCCTGACATCCTTCCAGATGTACAAAAAAAAAAACTCTTAAGAAGAGCGCTCGAGCTCCCACGCACAGCCTCTTTTGTGCTCTCATACTGTAAGGACATTTCATTGACAAGTCGCACTTCCAGGGGGATCGTGAACAACATTTCCCTTTACATCTGCCACTAAATTTGACTCACTGTGCACACTGGGCTGCAGTCAATGACTCAATATCCCTAAGTGCTCTCCAAACGCATTCCCTTGAGCTAAAAGTGGAGGAGATCAAAGTGCGGCAAAGCTTTCCATTTAGATAAATATACATGCAACATGTACAGTACATAACTACGCGCAGTACGAACATAGTAAGGCCACTCGGACAGGGAGGGTGAGGGGAGTGGGATCAACGCAGTGCTGTGGGTGTCCATTTAATAAAGCCACAGTGCTTTAGCTCCAGGACCACATGGGCCATCAGTCTTCTTACCTACTGATCAGACGCTAAACAAATAAGACAACAGCTCCGTCAGGCCCTGCACATGGGATCTAGAGGAGCCTCTCTCACGGACCCACAGCCGGCTCCTTACAGCTGGCCGCAATGAGAAAGCAGCTCGTCGTTTCTGCGCGGCTGTAGCTGCAGGGGGCCCGAGGAGCCGCGGACAGGTCGAGACCGCCCTTCCTCCACCTTACCTGCCGGCCTGTTATTCATGATGGAGCGCGCCACCTCCTCACGCACCGCCGGCCGCTCTCCGCGCGCGCAGCATGGCCTCCCCCTCTCGCACACGGGTGCGCTCTCCCGCTTCCGTGTGCGTGTGCCCTCGTCCCCTGCCGGCTAGCCCAGGATCTCTGCAGCGCGCTGTGGTCACTGCATCGCCAAGGCCCGGCTCAGTGCAATCCACCCTTCCCTTTAACCAGATGGAGTTGCTCTGCCCGGCCCACTCTTCCTTTTCTCATTTTGGTCCTCCCCCCCCCCCTTCACTGACTCAGTCGTGCGCAGACTGCTGACCTCAACATGCTATTCTCGTCCCCCTCAGTCACTTAGATCAGATTTGCTCCCCCCCTCCTCCCCCCCGGCAGGCCTCGGCTGCGGCACTGTCCCGGGGTGGGCGGGGCCGCTGGGAATCCCGTACACACGGCAGGCGGATGAGCGTCACAGTTAACGAGAGGATAATCCCCTAATAGCCAGGGCCGGCTCAGGAGGCATCAAAAAGGCATCAGCACCGCGGCAGCAGGCTAGCAGACAAGAGGAGCCGCTCCTCACTCTGGAAATTCAGAAACGTCTTGCGGGTAGCAATCTAACTTCTGAAAGGATGGCTTGGGGACGGATAGCTTGGAGCTGCAAAGGGAAGCTGCAATGGCCATTGATGGATAAGCACTTGAATAAGGGGAGTTTGTTTAAGCGTGCATCAGCAGCAACACTTCAGGAAAACAACCCCCAGCCCTGCACTTCAGCCCCGTACACAGTCGTTCACCACTGGTCCATGCTCAAGCTGCTCAAGTCCCTTGACAGAGATCAAAGAGCACCTGATGCATCGGCTGCTAAAGACAAGTAAGGCAGTAACTGCTGGCTCTTCCTCCAAGATCGCCACAGCGACTGAAGCAGCCCTTTGTACCGAGATGAGTCGCTGAAGGCTCTCAATGGCCTGCACTTTGGCCACCCTGTGCTCATACTGCACCAAGCAGACAAGCTGTAAAACACAGTGCCCCGCCCCCAGCCCGTACTCACTCTGTGGAGACATAGAGGGGCTGGAGGGGGGCAGTGGGGGGGGGGAGGAGCGGGGCGGGGGGACAGAAGGCCTGGC